TTTTCCAGAGCCAGCAGTGATGCTTTCTCAAGCACAAAGTTTGTGGCTGCTGTGGGTGCAGAGCAGCTGTGGCATCAGAGTGTCTGATCTGCTTGCACCTGGGCAGTACACAGGCTTCTGAAGAACAGGCAGCTTTGGTCCGCATCTGCTTGGCGGGATCCCTAATAGGGTTTGTAGACTCTTTTGCAGGGAACCAGTGAGAATGTAGCCAGGTCTGTAACTATCCCCGGTCTGTAACTGGAGCCTGATGAGTAGAAATGGGTGTTCTGGATAGGGGCTGAGCCGCTCTCATTCTTTAAACCAATACCCAGGTCAGAGTTAAGACATGCTAGCAGCATCAGGGACATGGCATGGCCAGAAATAAATTGAGTATTACTTCTCCCTAAAACCCCAGGCCCAGGGGGACAAGGAGTTGGAGGGTGCCCAGGGTCCTGCACACTGAACGTAATAGTAACGTTAAGTTCACATGACTTATTTCCTCATGTATGTGTATGTATTTATCCAGTTAATTTTAAATGATGTTTTTTTTACCAACCATTCAGAGATTTCCAAGCTAAGCTAGCCACTGGATTTGAGTCAGGGAATTCCCAGTAGAAAGATCAGATTAAGGTAAATTCTTTGTTCTGTATTGCTGCTGCAACTTCAGAAAAAAATTATGAGAGCTCTTCCTGGAATTGAAATTTCTGTTTAATGAAGAAGTGTAGAATTCCATTATTTATTGTTTGAGGTTTGATTTATCAGGAAGCTTAAAAAGAATGTTTTATTTTTGCTGTTAATAAAATCCCATCACATAACATTTAACAAAGACTAAAACGTCTCAAAGTGATTCGTGGACTGCATAGATGAATGTGCAGATCCACAATTGAATTTGATTGGTAGAGAAGCATTCTGCAATCCATAACAAGCATTTCAGAAAACCAGCTGATTGTTTTTTCTAGAATCTTGACTGAAGTGTTCAGGCTAGTATCAAATTTGTCAGTGATCCCTCTGTGTTTCTTTTGAAATGTATCATTTAAAGCCTATTACTAAACCTTTATAAAAATACATTTGACAAGTACACCAAAGAAACTGGCTCATAAAAGATTATGATCACTAATGAACTACAAACCTCATCTTTTGAAAACAGAAGATTTTTTGTGTGTGCGTGTAAATATTTGTGTTTATAAATGTACAGCAGAGTAAGAGTGTTTTTTAGATTATTTAATTCTCATCTTTCTACACAATTTCCTACAGAATAATCCGTGCTTGTTAGTTTGGAGGACTTGACTGTTTTGTTTTTTTAATTCATTATCAGTCATGCTTGGAAACAGCATTTCCGCTAGAGAATTCAGTGTTCTGGCTGTAGCAGGAGAACACATCTGGAGCACGAGGGAGCCTAGAGTGATTTGTCAGATGCACACCCTGAGAGACAAGAATGTGTAGTTTGATTACCAGAATGGACCATACAAAAACTGAGCTTCTGACTTCCCTGCAGAATTGCTCATTAGCCCAGAATGTGATTGGGATGAGGCCCTTTGCCCACAAAATTTAGCTTTCATGTAACAACTAGTGTGTTATATCATAATGTATTTTGTTCTTGCTTTGTAATGTAAGTTTTGCTTTGGGTCAATTTGAATTAAAAAAAAAAACACTTAAATCTGGTTTAAAACATACTGGAATTGTGTTTTATTTCTAGCCGGCCTGAACTTTTTAGTATTTCAAGCTATTGGGTGAAAAGAAATAAAGATTTGTCTTGCGTTCATTGGCATTTTAGGTCATTGGGAATTATGTAAGAGTGTGATACAGAAAACAGCACTATTTTAGATCAGATAAGGCAGTTCTCCCCCTGCCCTTTTGTTAATGCATCCGGCATGTACCAACCAATGAAGGACTATCACATTCTTGAGGGTATTGACCCAGCACTGAGCCTTTCTGGGCTGAATTTCCCTCTGCCTGATGCCTACCACCCCTGAATAAGAATAGACTTGGACGACAGTGTTTGTAAGCACAGAAGAGTGAACGCAGTGAACGTACACTTTCTCTATAGAACATAAGCACAGCTTGATTCAGGAGAGACCTCAGACTAATATGAATGATGGCGTGCTAAGAGAAAGTGGGGACAGGCGATTTAGCACCCCCTGCAGAAATTTGGTGTTTTGCAACTATAACCTTGTTGCAAACTTGTCCAGGGTTTGGCACAGATGAAGGCCAAGAATGGGACATTAGAAACTATTCCTAATGATCAGCAGGGGAGTTCAGATGTGAAAAATAGCCGTGTTGCTTGGAAATCTTGAGGTCATTCCTTTTCCAGCGATGTAAGTAGTGTATTGTTTTTTCAGCTGATAGACAATTCGTAAAAATGGCTTATGAGCTATTGATAAAACAGCTTATCTGCTTGATAACAAAATATTTCCACAGCCCATGTAATTGGGTTTCAAAGATGAAAGAAAATGGATTTGCATCCTCTGCCTGTATTTATGTAACATAATGTAACTGTGTTCTCTTAACAGGTCTTACAGACTTTGATGTTAGAATTTACAGTAGCTTAAATACCAATAAAGATTTTAAATGTCTGCTGCCAGACACTAATATTTAGGCCCGAGTTGATGTAGGCTTCTAAGATATGATGCTAATTTGTCTTTTATTCTATCATGAGTTATTCTGTCATTACCTAGAAAAGGTCTCTTAAGTCTTAGATAATAAAATAGCTGGTCAGCTAGCATATGACATTTACTAGATCTCATGACTTCTCTTGTATACTGCTGATAGATACTGTTCAAAGCTTTATAATATGTTTCTCTAAGATCATGGTGCATTTTATAGGCATTTATCTTCCAGAACTCTGATTCCCGAGTAACAGCATTCTGAATCCCGTTTGACAAGACGGAGGTGATTTGTGGAAGGTCTGATGAGAAATCATCAGTGTGTGACTAAAACCCTGAAGTATCACTATTGCTGCAGGGCTGGTGTCTTGTCCCGGAGGAGAATCTTATACCAGGTATTGAGATGCAGTCCTTCAATTTCATCCACTCATCTGTGCCCAGTGCCCCATGCTGGCTTTCATTTATGCGTCCATGGCTAAGTGATTTGTCAGTTTAGAAGACCTGTAAACATTAGGTGTAGAGGATCCAATTAAACAAATTGTTGCTCTTCTGTTGCGGATACGACCTTAAAGACAAATCATGTAATTGTCTGTGGTTATTAGAAATATGTTTTAAGTCTTGGTTTGTTCTAGTATCTTAAAAATCACACTTAGAATCTTCATGTTTTCTTTCAATCAGGAATGGTTTTAAGCTGATACAAATGTAAGTTATTCTGTTACACTGTGTAGTAATGCAGTGATTCACTTTTCTGTGAAATAGTATTTTATGAATCAGAAACGATATGGCTTAATTTGGACAGTGGGATGCAGTTGAAGTTGCGAAACTTGGGTTATGTGATGAGCAGACTGACCCTTTGTAACTGACATGGAGGTAATCCAGCTGCACATACTTCCTATTTTATCTGGCAAATGGAGTCATATTTTTCTTGTTCAGTCCTGAGCTTATGTTGCTTTTTTTCCTCTGATAATTTTGGGTGAAGTCACTGCCCAGTTTTCCTTTACCAAAAATAGGAGCCCTTGTAGAGCATGGATTTACTGTACATGACCATTGTATATTCCTCTAGAGGGTTTCTAGATTTTCCCTCAATTCTGGCCATGGAACCCTTTAGCAAAGTACACACATATGCTCAGTGTGGGCCTCTGCCTTGCCACGGTGCTCCTGTGTGCCAACCTTAGAGTTCCCGGATTGCTTATTTTCCCTGCCTTCTCTGGGTAGAAGTACAGCTTTATATCATTTAGGAAGAATGCCTAATAAATCATCTGAGCTATATCCGTTTCCCATCCTAGGTAGCACCAGAGACAGACAAATTGCATTTCTTCCTGGTTTTTATTACCACTGTTCTTAAATCAGTTGGTGTGAGTCCTTTGAGGACAGAATCCAGGTCTTAGTGGCCTGACTGTCAAGGAGTATTTGCAAAAGAATCAGTTTTCCAGGACTCTAGGTACATGGGGTCGTTGGTCCTCAGCCAGTGGTTTGTTCCTTTGATCCTCCAAGGAAACCAGGGCCGAGTGGGTGAGAGCACCAGCATCCCCCAGCTCCAGATCTCAAGTACACATTGTCCTGCTTCCTGCCAGGGTCGCCTCTTGCTGTCCCTCCTTCCCAGTGCCACCTCCCGTCCATCATAGTCACTGGGCGTTGGACCCACATGATCAGCTGCCTGGGCACTGTGATAGCAAGCATCTAAGAGGCCATGGGACTCTGGTTGCAGGGAGTTCTACCTACCAGGAGTCTCCCACCCTGAGTTCACAGCACATTGAGCCTCTGAAGGATTACAGTTCCCCCCGAAGCATGGGACTCTCCGTGCATGTCCAGCTCAGCTTCCCCCAGGGAGCCTCAGCTCACAGGTGTGTCTCCGCGGGTGGCAGCAGTGTTTGGACAGAGCTCTCCTCGGGACTCAGGCTGCTGGGTGGGGAGGGACTGAGGCAGAGCCTCTGGCCCACCAGCACCCATATGCTCTTCTCTTCTTTGCTGTGTACAGCACAAACGGTACCATTTTTTGCCGTA